AAGGAAGAAGGAATTGTGGATCTTGAGAATTATGATTAGCAAGAGGAGGTAGAAGATTTGAAAGGGATGGAAAGGTGGATCCCTACATTCGAAGAGTTACCCCATCGAGAAAAGAAAATTTTTCCGTCAAATGAACAAAAGCCCAACTTGGAGTTGAAGCCCTTGCCCACCCATTTGAAGTATGCCTATCTTGGGGAAGGTGAAACATTTCCGATGGTCATTAGCTCTACATTGATCATGGGACAAGAAAAAGAACTCTTGGAGGTGTTGAGAAAACATAAAGGAGCAATTGGGTGGACCATTACTGAAATCAAGGGGATAAGCCCTCTTATTTGCACCCACCGCATATATCTTGAGGAAGATTNTGAAGCCCTTGCCCACCCATTTGAAGTATGCCTATCTTGGGAAAGGTGAAACATTTCCGGTGGTCATTAGTTCTACATTGAACATGGCACAAGAAAAAGAACTCTTGGAGGTGTTGAGAAAACATAAAGTAGCAATTGGGTGGACCATTGCGGATATCAAGGGGATAAGCCCTCTTATTTGCACCTACCGCATATATCTTGAGGAAGATTCCAAACCTTCCCGACATCCACAAAGGCGGTTGAATCCCATCATGAAGGAGGTGGTAAGGGATGAGGTTCTGAAACTACTTGATGTGGGGATCATTTTTTGAATTTTCGACAGTAAGTGGGTTAGCCCCACGCAAGTAGTACCTATGAAATCTGGAGTTACGGTGGTTGAGAATGATGAGAATGAGCTTATACCTACAAGAGTAATCACCGGATGGAGGGTGTGCATNTGAATTTTCGACAGTAAGTGGGTTAGCCCCACGCAAGTAGTACCTATGAAATCTGGAGTTACGGTGGTTGAGAATGATGAGAATGAGCTNGGGCACCTCCTGACATTTTATAAATAACACGGAGACCCCATTTGTCTTCCTTCCGTCAATGTTGCTAACAGAAATTGATAATTTTATCTCAAAAAATTTTATTATTTTTACAATTGCCCTTCTCCAAATTTAGTAAAAAAAAAATTAATAAAATCAAATAAATATTTTATCTAGTACCCAAAAAATTGATTAAATGAATTTCAATATTAATTTTGATAAATTTATATATTAATTTACAATTTAAGGTTGATTTGGTGTTGAATATTTTTTGGTGTTTATAGTCAATGTGCTATTTTTTATTTACATTAACTGTTATTTACAATTTAAGAAATAAGTGGCAAAATACATGCCGTCAGATATATAAAAATTTAAATTAGTTTCATGAAATAAATAATTGCATAACATATACTTTTATATGTTTTATAGAGTAAATAATAACAAAAACAACATAGGGGAAATAAAAAAAAAAGATAATAGTATTAGACAGAGAGTATAAGATAGATAGACTGATAGAGAGAGTTATTTGAGAGATAAGAGTCTTAGAGTTGTAAAAAGAATGAAAGTTCAATTAAGACCATCAGATCAAAACCATCTGAGCCACAAAAAGTTTAAAACAAACAATCTAACTATTTTATTATATAGATTAGACCACATCTACATCAATCCTAAATACCAAGGGAAGACAAGATAATTAATATTATTTTTTGGAGACGTAATTGCAATTTACCTTATAATCAAAAGTTCTTAGTGAAACAAGGCAACACGTTTATGGGTAGGATTTGTATCCACATCCTCATTGGAGAGCTTATTTGGACAAGCAAATGATGATGGTTTCAATGGAGAATTAGTGATCAATGAATATAACTTTGTATAATTGATAAAGAATGCAAAATTTTGACCTAATTTCACCAAAATATAATTAAAATGCCGTCTGCACTTGATAATTACATTTTGCGATTAGACAAATTTTAAAGTTCATACCTTCCTCTCCCTCAATCTCTTGTTCTAAGTCCTCGGATTGGTATCGAAGCTTAAAAGAGTTGTCCATTACCAAGCTCGATTTGGGATCAAATCACACTAGCCACATAACGATTTTTGTACACATAGATCCATTGCTTATAGTTAAAAACCTAAAAATTTGTCCACATCCTGTTATTTTTTTCATTGCAAAGTTGAATAAGGCTCAAACTAAATAACATTGACTTGGTTACGCCATTTCAATTTGATGTTTTTCCTAGTATTTTTGGCCCTCCGACATGTAATTCTTGAATACTAGTGGTTACGGTATGTGTAACGCAAGATACAAAATAGAAAATGACCTAATAACCAACTTTGTAGATATCTCTAATTCCTTTTAGGTTTTGATGGGAAAAGGTGCGGAAGGAAAATGAAACAATGGAGGGATCCAAATCGGACCTAAATGGGAATGACATGAAAAGTCTTTTCAAAACCTAGCATTAAGGGTGTTACGACAATATATGAGACTAATGGAGAAAAACTCGTGATTGGTGTGGAGGAAAAGATCTGTTTATGACATAGTTCAAGAAATAGTCGTCTCATTACTTTATTTCTTTGTTCTTTCTAATTCATTCACTTCAAGACTGGTTCTAAATGTCGTGTAACATCATCTTTAACCAACCTCCACTGTATGTACCTTTTGGTACAACCACTAAAGAATTGCTTATACACTAAACAACTACTTATATACGCTTACTAAAAGACNGTATGTACCTTTTGGTACAACCACTAAAGAATTGCTTATACACTAAACAACTACTTATATACGCTTACTAAAAGACCGACTTTCATTCTTTAGGCCAGCATGAAACTAAGAAAGAGAGATGTGCCTAAGGCGGCATGTAAGCAAACTGTGCACACTAAGAGAAGAGGAGTAACATGAACACGTGTAAAAGTACCAAAAGATGGACATGAACCCAGTTCGGAAAGCTAGAGTTCTTAAAATCGAATTTCCTCCTTGGGGTCCTCCACACTTATGGCATTGGTTGTGTATTATGATGCTTTAAGATGTCTAGACATGACTTTCACAAAAAAAAAAAAAAAAAAAAAAGAGGAGATAAAAGGGAATCTGATAAAAGGAATAAATGTAAATTCAACCATTTGCTACTTATACAAGCATTGAATTGGAAGTCGGGTTCAAATTGTAGCTTAATAATCTATTCAAGTTGAGCAATTTAATTACTAATAATCTAATCTATTCAAGTTGAGCAACTTAATAATCAATTCAAGTTGAGCATAAAGATAGAAGATCTGTTTCACAAATTATTTGACACCACAAACGCGCACATGATTTCCGCTGCAAGTGACCGGGTTGTGGGGAGGGAAGGGAACAAATGAAACTGGGAATCCATTTAGAAATAGGAAAGCGCGGAAAATATAGTCTGTGCCACAGTGAGTAGAAGGAGCACAATAGCACCCACAACAGAAATAAACGCCCATGGACTGTTGAAATAATTGCGCCTTAAGTTTGCTATCCATTTGTTGCAAGGCCTCTTACAATGCTTATTCACTTCTTTGAAAACTTGAGTGTAACAGAAGTTTTCCGAGCGCATGACATTGTTGGGAAGCTTGTTTAACATGTTGCAAACTGCAGTATCATCACCTATATGGTTATGAATAATTCTAGAACAGCGAAGCAATGCGGCATCCTTTGGAGAATTGACAAGACAATCCATAAACGTGGCATAATCAGTGACATATCTTCGATAGATATCGGGAAGAAACTGTTAAAATGCAATTAGATTTCTTAAAATAGTTTCAGTTTCATCACCAATACACAACTGGGGAATTTCCATCAACCTGTTGGTGAACTTAATATCAATCAAAATATTACTTTCTTCATCCACCTTGAATTCAATTCCTCCCTTTTGGAGCTCTGTGATAGTATTTATTAACTCTAATTTGTAGTTCTCGTTTCTGTTCATCTCACCATAGGACATGACTTTTTTAGCAAATGAAATGCACATACTGCCATGTGCTAGGTGAAGTAGATGCTTGACATCATCCACTGGTATATCTGAAACGTGTGAAACTATTGGCCCTGGCAATACAAAGTGTAGAAAAGACAATGCAAGATACGTGTGTCTTCTTGTGTATTTGGATCCCTTGTCATGTTTAACAACTGAACAAGGATAAAAAATGGAAATTGATTTTCCAGTAGCAATAAATCAGTACATATGGCACCCAGAATCCTCCAAAATTGTAGAATAGGGTCATTTCTATAACTCCTCCTCGCATTCCACTTGCGAAATAATTCAATGACAAATACCCCATCAAGAAGCATCATTTTCACAAACTCAGCTTTGTTGAGGCTAATAGATTCTGCATAACATTTTCTCGCCGTCTCTTCCATGTCACTCAAGGCCATAACATATTCATCCACATTAGTCTCATTTCTCCGTTGAAGCAACAGCTTTAAGTACCGCATTTTGTGCTCTTCCATCTCTTGCAATTTGTACTTAGTACTATGGTGATAAGGACCAATTGCGATTATTCTAGGTTCATAGGCTTTCTCATTTTCAACGCGTAGTTCATCGCACACTCGGAAAATGCAACGCTCAGATGGTGTAGGAGCTAGGCAAGCAAGCTCTTGGTCTATACTTGAGGAGATTTGTTCGACCGTTTGAGTCATCGTTAACTTCTAGGCGGAATATGTCAATTGTTAGTGGAATTTTCAAAATATTAAATAACATGTTCCAAAACTAAGGACGAATAGAACTACAGTACTAGACTAACTAAACGATGTATCTCTTTTATAGTATTCTGATAAAATTTCAAAATCCTTTCACTTAGCAGTAATGGAGGGATTACCTTAAGAGAACACTATGACTTAAATTATATCATCGTGGCTTAAGGTAAAAAGGAATTATAACCTACTGCTGCTGACAATGATAAACATGCAAAAAATAATTTCGAACTATTCTTCTTCGGTAATAAATTAAAAATAAAAACTAGATGAAAAAGAGAAGGAGTTGACCAGATTCTTGTCAAGATCACTGGTCTCAAATTCCGAAGGACAAAAATCCAGAGAAAAAAATAATGAATATTGCCTTAAAATTTATCAGTAGAGCTTTAACACATGCTTGGCAAAGATGGTTTAGTGCCGGAGGTAAGTATTAGCTAAAATCATAATTTTAAAATCCGGCCTGGACATCAACCGGGAAAAAGGACCAGATTAGTGAGTCACTAGTTCAACCGTTTGGTAACTGATCGAACCGGTAACATAATAAAAAAAATAAATAATAATAATAAATATGCTAAAAATCACAAAAATTATAAAAATAGCATGCTTAATATACTTTAGATCAAACAAAAACCCCAAAATCACCAAATAAATTCTCAACCAAATAGATAAATCAGTAACAATTAAGCCATAACTCAATAAAAACCATACACAATTAGGCAGTAAGATTTCACCTCCACTCAACTCTCAATCAAATAGATTAAAACCCCAATTTCATCATCCTCAATTCCTAATTGAGTAATTTTTGGAATTGATAACTAAGCAATGCCCTAAATTTCATATGCATTATCAAGTATCATCAACTAATTCACTAAGTTAGTCTACAATGTAGTCAATATTAAAAAACAGAGCGAGAGATGTACCTATTGGGAGGGCCTGAGGGAGCAAAAGATTGATTTGTGAGAAGCAAAACAAGTGAAGAAAATTTCCAATCAATCGGCTGATGGTGGTGGAGGATTCCGAGAGACGATTATATGATGGTGATAAAGGGATGATTCCTTCGATTTGAGGCTTCGAGTTCGACAGTTACATTGCAAGAGAGGGGCTTCGACTTCGACAGTGGTTTGCGTCGAGTTCAACAGTGGCTTGCTTCGAGTTCGACAGTGGCTGGCTTTGAGTTCGACTGCTACACTGAGAGAGAGAGAGAGAGAAAGAGTTCGACAGTGGTTGGCTTCGATTCGACAGTTACACTAAGAGAAAGAAAGGCTTCGAGTTCGATAGCTCCACTGAGAGAGAGAGAGAGAAGAGGCGTATAAGAGATGGGTGGTGGCTGTGTCGTCTAGTCTGGAACGATTTAGGGCAAAACAAAACGAGAAAATGCCCAAATGATGAAAAAAATACAGATTTATACAAATGTAATTAAATCGACCGGTTTGATAAACTCCTTCAGTTCTCACGAATTTACCGGTTCAATGGGTTTATTTCAAGTTCGTTACTTTTAATAAAATCGGCCCGGTTAAGAGACCGGTTCACCAGGTTGACCCGCTGGACCGGGCCGAGTTTTGAAACACTGGCTAAAATAGAGAGAGAGAAAAAAACAATCTTGTATATATTTATCTAATTCTTAGGTATGGACTTTCAAGCACTTACTTGGTAAGCTGTTTAGTCTGTCACGAACATATAATCCTTAAACGAAAATGCTATTTGAATTTAAAAATTTGACATAATTTGCTGACCTAATGACGTGACTTCATTGGAATTATTGGATTAACACCAAGTTTCAATATTTGATAGAGTCCATAGTCAATCCAAAGGTCATAGTGAATTAGGTTAGAAAATTAGGTCTCAATAGCATTGCTCAATCCTTAAAACTGAAGAAGCTGCTCATGATTCAAAGGGAGAAACAAGCCTTATTTATAGGAGCTTTTCCGCAAACCCAGTCCCCCTCAGAACTTAATTCCATAACTCAGTCCCTTTTAAACTTAATTCTCAAATCCAGTCTTTTTTTAAAAACGTCATTTGAAATGACGCATTCTCCCCTAAAAACGTCATTTGAAATAACGATTTGAAATTGAATTTTTTTCTCCTAAAACATCATTATGAATGATGTTTTTAAATTCGTGATTTAAAATGACGTTTTGTAACAAGAAGTTTTAACGGAGTTTAACAGATGTTTAAAAAAATAAAAAGGGTTAAAAATGTCATTTTCAATAACGATTTCAACGTTAAATCAGACCATTTAAATTTTGACAGATCACACAGGTTAGGTCAAAAATTTTCAAGCATAACCACTCGACTCTCTCCTCCTCCTCAGTCACTCTTCAACGAGGAAGACCATCAGAAAACCATCCTCCAATGACCACAGCCTCCACTGCACCACCGACTGAGCAGTGAGCACATTCTCCATTCTCCATTTTTTGCCCAAAATCGATTTTTGCCCAAAGGATTTGCTCTGTGGCCTGATCTATTCTAGGTGATTTGATATATTGCAACCACATATGTTAGGTTTCTAGGTCTTGTGTGATTATTTTGGGATGATCAGAAGTTTGGGGTGCAGTTCATTTTTTAAATGGCCTTATGGGTTCGGCGATGCTCATGGATCTGTGTTCATGGGTGTTTTTTGAACATATATCAAAAAAGCGTACGTAATACGTAATAGAGTTACAAAGTTAGCTGTTACTGCCATAGGAAAGGGTTGGAACTACCCACTGAAAATAAGAATAAATTCCCATCCGAGTTTTGTTTAAATTGGTAGGTAGAGCAAAAGATATGCTATATTGATGCTGAGATGAGGAAATGTTTTTGATGGGACATTTTCAAGTACTCCAAGATGAAGACACGTGTCCTCGACATCAGTAAATTCTTTTCCTATAAACACGACACGTACCCGTCGGATCACAAGTCCCTGTTCCCCCGAGGTACTGTTCATAGAAATCAATGACACCCAATACGTTACGTATCGACACGTATCCCTCGGGGTCGGATATGGTACATCGGTCCCTACATGTACCAATCCCCTCGGTACAGAGATGTACCCGTCCAGGATGGTGTTCTCTGCTCCTGCAGAGGCTATTGATGTACAGGTAACTAGCCTAGGCTAGGCTAGGTTAGCCATCATGACCTCGTCTTACATAATTGGTGTCAGAAGGCAGGGGACACAGCCAATGGGGAATGGACGCGTGGCATATTGTGTCACATCAGAGACAAAAAGACCGGATACCCTTGTTGACACATGACTTGGGAAAGCAAGCATTTAATTACACCATTCCCTTGATGAGACAACATTTCATGTGGTAAGGCTCGGAAGTGANACACAGCCAATGGGGAATGGACGCGTGGCATATTGTGTCACATCAGAGACAAAAAGATCGGATGCCCTTACTGACATACGACTTGGGAAAACAAGCATTTAATTACACANACATGACTTGGGAAAGCAAGCATTTAATTACACCATTCCCTTGATGAGACAACATTTCATGTGGTAAGGCTCGGAAGTGAAAGGTAATAAATGTCCCTAAGACTGGGCATTTATTACCTCCTTATCGAGAGCAGCTCATTAAACAGTCGGCAGGCCGATGACATAGCCTTGGTTGCTCGGGATCCCGAGCAGTTAAAGAGAAGACATTCCTCATAGGAATCAGTGCGCACGTTGCCCGTATNGCTCGGAAGTGAAAGGTAATAAATGTCCCTAAGACTGGGCATTTATTACCTCCTTACCGAGAGCAGCTCATTAAACAGTCGGCAGGCCGATGACACAGCCTTGGTTGCTCGGGATCCCGAGCAGTTAAAGAGAAGACATTCCTCATAGGAATCAGTGCGCACGTTGCCCATATTTAATGATCACCTACTGACCACACTGACAGCAATCATGAGTTTTTGAGGTATAAATACTCCTCACAAAAGGCAAGAATGGGGAGGCAAAACCTTTTCTCAAACTTATACTCAGTGTTTTCTTTTTCCTCTCTCTCAAAAATTGACTTGATCGTCGGAGTGGATACGCCGAAAAACACTCTGGCGCCCTTCTAACTTGTCTTTATCTATTCCAGGAACCTTCCTCAGCCTTACTAGATCATTTCGTTGATCCACGAGGGTCTCCCATTATCGTTTCAAGCTACCACCGGACCTCACAGGTTGTTCCAAGCAGTAGGGTTGACCACTCGACTGACTCACTCGAGTTCACCAAGGGAGAGATCTGTTCTCGTGTTTATATTGTGCAAGATCCAGCACGCACAATCTGGCGCCGTCTGTGGGAAACAAATAGTTTTTCTAGTTTCTTCTTTATAAAAAATAGTGACCATGGTGAATACTCGACAAAAAAGGAAAGGTCCCCAGCAAAGAAGTCTTGAATTACGAGCTCCATGTCACCATGGATGGAGGGATCACACTGATGGGAATAGAAATGCCTCTATTCAGTCAAGAGGGGTTACTCCTCAAACCAGTATGGGCATCAGGTCAGGAGGATCCGTCCCCTTAGCTCGTCAACTGGCGAAGGTGATCGAAGAAAAGTTTGGAGATCAATTACGACAGTTGGAAAAGGACAATGTGAACGTCCTAAGTCGGCTCAACGAATTCGCCGCTTCTGACGAAGGGTCGAGGGACTCATTCCTTTCTCGTGGACTCCCCGCCCGAGAGGCGAAAACGAAGGATCTAAGGAATCATTTAAATAACAAGGCAGAAAGCTCCAGGGCCCCAAAGCGACCAAGAGCCAACGAGCACCCTCTTAATGATCATTCCAGGAAGGCAAGACCTTTAGCCCTGGACGACCTTCGGCGAGGATTGTCAAGACGGAGGAAGGGAGATGAATCCAAGGAGGATTCAACCCTATCCACACGACGCCCAGGAAATGGGGGACCTATTGATGAACTCAGAGACTTCAGAAGACATCCCGTTGGGGAGGAAATTGATCTCAGAGCCCGGTTGGAATCCAGGAGAAAGAGTAAGGTTGTTCAGGATGAGGTCGAAGACGAGATCATACAAACACCTTTTACTAGGGATATCAGAGAGATGGAGGTTCCAAAAAAGTTCGTCGTGCCGAGGTTCAAAACTTATGACGGGCAGTCCAATCCCGAAGCCCACCTTAGGCAATACAAGCAAATGATGTCCCTGTATCATTCAGACCAACGGTTCCTCTGTCGAGTGTTTCCTATGAGCTTGGGGGACTCTGTGATGAAGTGGTTCGAGGCGCTTCCCCCCAACAGCATTGGATCATGGAAAGAATTGACGAGGCAGTTCCTGGCTTGATTCATTACGGGGAGTAAGCGGCCTAAAGACGTTGGATCATTGCTAACGCTCAGACAGAGGGAATTCGAGACCCTTCGCCAGTACGCCATTCGGTACTGGGAAGAGGTTAATGAGGTAGAGGGCTGCTTGGAAGTCATGGCAGCGGCGTCTTTTAGGCTCGGCTTGGCAAGGGACACAGACCTATACCGATCCCTGACCAAAAAGACTCCCTCGGATATGGGTGAGCTGATGGCCCAGATAAACAAGTACTCTAGGATCGAGGATGAGATGGGAAGCAGCAAAGGTAGAATCCTCCAACCTAAGAGAAAAGAGAGGGCGCGGGAGGATACTTCCCGAAAGGGACTGCTA